GCAGAGAAGGACTATAAAGGAGGAGAGAGACGGCATGCACCAGGAACATCTATGGGGAACATCTAGCTGAAGGAACACCTGTGCAGCCCCCGAGAAGAGCCGGCCGGCGGTGTGCCGCTCCCCTGCGGAAGTGGGGAATGCGGCCAGGGGGAACTGCCCTTCCACGGAGGTGGAAGGGATAGTAGCCAACCCGGGAAGAACCAGCAGCAAACCCGGGGAGGGCCGAGCAGACGAAAGAACAGCGCAGGGTCCTGTGTTGCTCCTCCACGAAGAGGGGGAGCGACAAAGTGATAACCAATAAATACCGCCACACATTCCCAAATGGCTCCTGAAGACTCAGCACTGCCTCTTGAAGAGCTGCTGCCTTGGGAAATCTGGTTTCGTAGCTACGGGGCAGATGTCCACTGCAGGGACTTCAACTATGAACAGAGGAGTGCAGAATTAAACCGGACAAGACTTGGTGGAAGTCTAGCAGAAGGAAGGAAGGTGAAAGGGTAGTAACTGGCTGGGGGCAATAGGAAAGTTTTTTTTTTTAAAGATTTATTTTACTTATTCAAAAGGCAGAATTAGAGAGAGGCAGAGAAAGAGAGAGGTCTTCTTCCATCTACTGGTTCACTCCCCAAATGGCCACAATGGCCAGAGCTGAGCTGAACCTAAGCCAGGAGCCAGGAGCTTCTTTTGGGTCTCCCATGTGGGTGCAGGGGCCCAAGCATTTGGGCCATCTCCTACTGCCTTTCCAGGCCATAGCAGAGAGCTGGATGGGAAGTGGAGCAGCCGGGACTTGAACTGGCCCCAAGGAAGGGTTTTTTAAACACAGGATTCAACATGTTGAAGATCTAATGGAAATGAGCCAAAGGAAAGGAGAGCCTGCATATACAAAAGAAGGGAGAAGTGGTACCAGAAGGCAACTGAAGGGGCACAAGGCAAGCACAGCTGACACAACTGGCCGTAGACAGGAGCCCAACTCCTGCCTTGAAACAGCAACCTTAAGACAATGCTGGAGCGTCTGTACTGGCTCGCTGTTTCCTTTCTGACCATGCAGACTGTTCTTTTTTTTTTTTAAGATTTATTTTTATTTATTTGAAAGACAGTTACAGAAAGAGAGAGAGAGAGGTCTTCCATCTGCTGGTTCACTCCCCAATTGGCAGCAATGGCTGGAGTTGCACCAATCCGAAGCCAGGAGCCTCCCCTAGGTCTCCCATGTGGGTGCAGAGGCCCAAGGACTTAGGCCATCTTCTACTGCTCTCCCAGGCTATAGCAGAGAGCAGGACTGAAAGTGGAGAAGCCGGGACTAGAACCGGCGCCCATATGGGATGCTGGCACAATGATCTGTCTTTAGAGCTACTTCCTGCTCACATGGGACAACAGGTACTCTCTGCTGGCATGGGGCGATGTCTCAAGCCATTGTCTCCTGGGTGGGAGCTGAGTATATCCCTGTAGCAGCATTTGGTTGACCAGGAAGGCTAATTTTTAATGTGATAATTTTGTATGGCCTGTGAATGATGCTATAAATATCCAAAAGGCCCTCGGCAGAAGAAAGGCTCCCCACCTCGGCAAGATCCTTTACAATCGGGTCTCCTGACCTCCTTTCCTAGCACTGCCCCCCCGGTTATGACCCACCAAGCACAGAACTTCCCTGATTGTTCCTGCAGACAGGAAGCTCATTCCTGCTACAGCACCTTCACCAGGCGCTCTCTCTGCAGCCATCCACGAAGGTTTCCAGCGTTCCACCTTCATGTGTTCACTCAACTGCCACCTGTTCAATGAGTACGCTATTTAAAATATTACCCCTCAATCCCACCTTTCCTCCCACTCCGCTGTTGCCTGTAGCACACGCTCCTGTCTAAATTAGTTATTTTAGGACTGACTTTTCCCACTGGAATATAAGCTCCAGGAAGGCAGAGTCCTGTTTGTATTGTTCAAGGACATATACCCAGCACACAGTGGGTGCACAATAAATGTTGGCTGAGTAAACAGATGGGTGAGTATAGATAATCTGTATAGTTCAAAAGCAAGAAGAAAGGGGCCAGCATTGTGGTGCAGCGAGTAGCCTATATTACAAGTTCAAGTCCTGGGGGTTCCACTTCGGATCCAGTGCCCTGTTAACACACCTGGGAAAGTGCCTGGACCCCTACCACTCACATGAGACCCGGATGGAGTTCTAGGTTCCTGGCTTTGGCCTGACCCAGCCCGGACTGTCACAGGAGGAGTGAACCAGTGGAGAGATTTGTTTCTCACCCTCTCTCTGTTGCTCTGCCTTTCAAATGAATAAATCCTCAAAGTAAATTAATAAAATCAAAGCAGAAAGAAATTTCCATTTGGGACTTGTTTGGGAGGAGGTAAGTGACATTTTCTGAGTGAAGGTCATGAAGTGAGGGAGATAGGCTTAGGGAGAAAAGAAGTCTGAAAAACTTCGTGATCGCCTGGTGGTGCTGAGGGTCCATCTGAGTGTGATGAACCAGAGACTGTTACGGGATCAGTCCAATCTACCATCTGCTAGTCCACAGCACGTGCAACTGCTTAGAGACCCTGACATGGTGAACAGCTGGGTTAATTCAGGCTGAAGTTTTGCCAGAGGCAGAGGGTTTAGAGCTTGGCTTTTTTTTTTTTTTTTTTTTTTTTTTTTTTTTGCCAGGCAGAGTTAGACAGTGAGAGAGAGAGAGAGAGAGTTATAGACAGTGAGAGAGAGAGACAGAGAGAAAGGTCTTCTTTCCGTTGGTTCACTCCCCTAATGGCTGCTATGGCTGGTGCTATGCCGATCTGGAGCCAGGAGCTGGTACTTCCTCCCGGTCTCCCATGCAGGTGCAGGGACCCAAACATGTGGGCCATCCTCCACTGCCCTCCCACAGCAGAGAGCTGGACTGGAAGGGAGCAACCGGGACTAGTACCCTGTGCCCCAACCGGGACTAGAACCCAGGGTGCCAGCACCGCAGGTGGAGGATTAGCCAAGTGAGTCATGGCACTGGCCCTAGAACTTGGCTCTTAATCCTGGCGAATCTTTAGTATCACCTGGAAGAAGTTAAAAAAAAAAAAAAACGGCTAGTTTGGTAAACCCAACTGTGATCATTACGGCCAACACATGAGTCAGTAAGTCCCGCAGCATCTGCTGTTATTTACGTTATCCCTGCCTGTGTGGGTTCACCATACACAGATGGGGGTGCTGTTCTGGAGGTTTTTAGTCCCCTTTTCTAAATGGGAACTTTTGTTGCCGTTGTCTTAGTCTTTCTCCTTAGGACACTTCACACTACAAACCTGTGAACCCAAAGCCTCTTCTTTTAGTTATGTATGAATATTGTTTAGTCAAAATATAAACTCGCTAAGAGCAGAGACCAAGTGACTTAGGTTAACGCTTTATTTCCAAGACCTGATGATTGTGCTTTAATACAATTTTTCTGAACGAATGGTAACCACCAGCAAGCGGGGCATGTATTTTCTCAGTACTGTTACTTATCCAATTTCACTTCTTTTTCACCTGCAATGCTATATCCTGTCAAGTTCAGACAGGAGGAGGAACAGCCTCTGAGAACGCAACACGTTGCCCAAAGTCACATGCTGGTGAGTCAGAATGAAGCCAGAGCTCAATTCTGATACTAAAACCCACGTTTTTAATCAATGTTATGCTGCGTTTGATAGGAAGGTAAGGATGGAGACAAAAAGAGAAATGAGAAAGAAGTAGGTGGAAATTTCCAAGAATGCATCCTTATTTTGTGGCCCTTTGGCAACTGCAGCAAAATTTGGTATCAAGTCCCTTTCACAGCTGGAGGCCCGATTCTCCCCCCAGTAGGATCACACTAGAATCTTGGTCACCTGCAACAAACATGTGGCTCTTCCCCTCTCCAGGAAGATGTGTTAATCTACTGGCTGAAATACAGGTTTGTGCTCACTTGCAAGTTTGGTACCTCTCATTAGATAAGCTATCCACTATCCTGCTTACAATTTGGTACATATGTGAATTTATGTAAGTTTTCAAATATTATGTTGCAATGCCATATTTTGCTTACACATAACCCAGCTTTTCCCCATCCTATTTATGAGGCCAGGACTGGATTTTGGTCTTTTATAAAGCAAGTATAAATAGACCATAAGCCTTTTCCTCTTGAGAACTCTAATACTTTACTTTTCCTTTTAATAAGCAAATGTCCTCTCATTCAACAAATATTTATCTGGTGTCGAATGGAGTGTCCATTGCAGTGGGAGACAAATGAATTATGTAACATGTTATGTGGTAAATGGTATAAGAAAAATACAGCAGGGTGAGGGAGCAAAGGTGGTGGGGAGCCATTAGATAGTCTCAACAAAGACCTTTCTGACAAGCTGAGATGTCAACAGATACCTGGGTAACCATAGGAGCCAAGCAGTTACCAACTGGAAGAGCACTGCAGACAGAGGAATGGAAGTGCAAAGATCCCAAGGAGGACGGTTGCTTGGTACACTGGAGAAACGAGGAAAAGAATGACCCAATAAAAGTCTCCAGGTAAGGAGTCAAAGCTAACAAGGCTTGGGAAGTTTACAAAAAGCCTATGGGTCATCACTAGAACTTTGCTTTTTATTCTGGAAGAGACGGGAAGCTCCTGGTAGATTTTAAGATAGCAATGATACTTTAAAAATTTTTACTTATTTTGGAAGTCACAGAGAGATCTTCCACCTGATGGGACTATCTCCAGATGGCCGCCAAGGGCCAGGATGAAGCCAGGAGCCAGGAGCTTCATCCAGGTCTCCCACATGGGTGGCAGGGGCCCAAACACTTGGACCATCTTTTGTTGCTTTATCAGCTCCAGCAGGGAGCTGGATCAGAAGTGGAGCACCAGTTGGGACACGAATCAGTGCCCACATGGGACGCTGATATCACAGTCAATAGCTCTACCTGCTATGCTACAATGCTGGCCCTGTAACACGCATTATTTGCCTTTTAAAGTGATCACAGTGACCTCAGTGTGATGGAGCGGACCACTTAGAAGCAAGGGTAGAAGCAGGAGCCTTTGCCATGGTCCAGGTGTAAGATGACAGAAGCTTGGGCAGGAGTGAAGGTGAAGGTGATGGTCAAGAGAAGTCAGATTCTGGAGACGTTATCAAGGTAATTCCAGCAGGATTTGCTGGTGGAGTTGATTGGAGATGTCAATTAGATGGCTCCTGGGTTGTTAGCCTCAAAAGGACAAAGCTACCATTTCATGGGGGTAGGGAAGACCTGAGGAAAACTTGTTTTGGATCCATTACGTTTGTAATGCCTGTTAGACAGTCAGGCAGTGCTGCATGTAGGCAGTTAAGTGTGAACCTAGTGTTCAGGGGCCTGGTTGTGGGCTGCAGTCAGCGTGGGTTTCCCCCAGCCAGAGATCTGAATGGTCCTGTCTGGGGAGAGAACAAGAACACACACAGTGCAAGCTGTGAGACTTGGATCCTGGGACTCTGGCACTTACAGGCTGGAAAATGAGGAAGAACCAGCAAGGACACTAAAAACAGCCCTTTAGGAAGGAAGAGAAGCCCGAGAGAGAGAGAACGGGATCTTGGCAGGCAGCATAAGGGCTTCACAAAGAAAGTTATCAGTTGTGTCGAATGCTGCACACAAGTGAAGTGAGATGAAGCCTGGAAACAGAAATCAGGTCTGAGAACATGGAAGATACTGAAGATCTGCAGCAGGTTCAGGAATGTGGGAACAAAGCCACATCGTGTGGGCCGGACAGAGTAAAAGTGGAGATGAGTATTTCAGTAGAGAAGGTCGCAGAGCCATGTGTTGATATGTGGTGGGAGTTACGGTTCAAAAATGTTTTTTTTAAAGGTGGTAGCTGATAGAAAATGTTTAGAAGGGAGTGGAAGGGATCCAATTGAGAGGAAAAGAAATCCCTGAGAAAAGTTGATGATTCTAAGAGTCAAATGCAACAAAGTGGCCAGACTGGTCTTACTCTTACCCAGTTACTGTAATCATGTCGCAAGGCTGGTACAGGTAGTTACTGTTTTCTGATTTCTTCTGTCTTCCTGGAGATCTAAGAAGCAAGATAACGAACTACAAGCGAGCAATGAGGTTTTGGCAGGTTTAGAAGATGAGAAACAGCTGGTGAGGAGGGCAAGGTAAATGGATTTGTGCAATAAAGTCTGGAGGGATGAGGAACCCAAGGAGCTCACTTCAGAGAGAGTATGCTTGTGTTTTCTCCCCGTCAAGTTCACCTGCTCTGTGCAGGTACCCATGCTGCAGAGAACTGACTAGGGTTGTGATTCAGGCAGGTAAAATGGAAAAGAGGAGTTGAGAGTTATTTGCAAAGGAGTTTTGTTAGCTACTCAGGCCACTCTCCTGGGCCACAGCAGAGAGCTGGACTGGAAGAGGAGCAGCCAGGACTAGAACCTGGCGCCTATATGGGATGCCAGCACCACAGGCGGAGGATTAACCAAGTGAGCCACGGCTCCTGCCCCACAATGTCTTTTTTTTTTTTTTTAAGATTTTATTTGAGAGGCAGAGTTACAGGATAGAGAGAGGGAGAGACAAAGAGAAAGGTCTTCCATCCACTGGTTCATTCCCCAAATGGCTGCATCAGCCGGAGCTGGGCCAATTCAAAGCCAGGAGCCAGGAACTTCTGGACCTCCCAAGTGGGTGCAGGGACCCAAGTACTTCTACTGCTTTCCCATGCATGTTAGCAGGGAGCTGGATTGGAATTGGAGCAGCTGGGACTCGAACCATTGCCCATTTGGGATGCTGGTGGAGAATAACCTGCTGTGCCACAATGCTGGCCACGCTTACTGCTTTCACACCATCATTAAGTTGAGGAACACTCAGCCAGTTTAGTGCAAAAGCAGCCTTGGGTAGTATGTAAATGAGTGACCAGGATTGGCTAGTGTAAGCCTTGTCTGCCTCTTCTGTAGAGAGAAAAGAGAGTGAGCTGGGGATTAATCATCCCTGTGTTACTTCAGATGTTCAAGGTTAGGGCTGTGAAGAGAGACTAGCAAGAGACTGAGATGTGGCCAGGTGACTAGGATGGGAGCAGTACCTATGGACGTCGTAAACTGTTGAAGTTTGTTTCAAAAGGGGAATGGAGAAGAATGCGATGGCTGCAGTGGTATGTGGATTAAAGAAAAGTGTCCCTTTTGTTTTTCTTTTTTATGGCAACTGCTGTCAGCGTACTCACGTGCTGATGGAGCAGATCCTGAAGAGAAGTTGCTGGGTTGGCAGGAGGGGGCGCAGTTGCTGGAGAAATGTTACTGAGACTTAGTACACAATTAAAGGGTTGGCCTTAGATTGGAGCATTAACAGTTTGTTGATAATAAGAAGGCGGCTGTTTACTATTATAGTGTATATGCTGATGATTATTTACCATTTACTTAATTATAGCTGAAGAACTCAACTCCATTAAAGATAAGCACCATTTTAAAATTACCCGTGGGAAAGCTTATTCAAGGTTATAGTTGGGGCCAGCGCCGCGGCTCACTTGGCTAATCCTCCGCCTGCAGCACTGGCACACCGGGTTCTAGTCCCAGTTGGGGCACCTGATTCTGTCCCAGTTGTCCCTCTTCCATTCCAGCTCTCTGCTGTGGCCCAGGAGTGCAGTGGAGGATGGCCCAAGTGCTTGGGCCTGTACCCGCATGGGAGACCAGGACGAAACACCTGGCTCCTGGCTTCGGATCAGCGCGGTGTGCTGGCCGCAGTGGCCATTGGGCGGGTGAAGCAATGGAAAAGGAAGACCTTTCTCTCTGTCTCTCTCTCTCTCTCTCTCACTGTTCACTCTGCCTGTCAAAAAAAAAAAAAAAAAGGTTATAGTTGGTAAATGCCTGTCTCCTTGGTGTTTTGTAGTGCTGCCTTTGGTGCCGTGGGTGTGCTGCAGAAAGGCCTTGTGGGTCACTGTTAGGAGCAGGAGGGAAAATACCAGTTTAAAATTTTTTTTAAAGATTTATTTGCAAGGCAAAGTTAGAAGGAAAGACAGAGAGAGGGATCTTCCATCTGCTGGTTCACTCCCCAAATGGCTCCTATAGTCAGAGCTGGACCAGGCCGAAGCCAGGAGCCTGGAACTCCATACAGGTCTCCTATGTGGATGGTAAAGGCCTATGTACTTGGGTCATCTTCTCAGATGCCTTCGCAGAGAGCTGGATTGGAAGTAGAGGAGCTGGGACTTGAACTGGGTTTCATATGGGATGCTGACATCACAGGTAGCAGACAGCCCACCCAACCCACTGTGCCACAATGTTGGTCCCCAATATTTCGTTTTGGAAGGATTTCTTTTTCTTTTTTAGTTTATATTCTCCCATGACATGAAACAGTGAATGCCACAGTTAAAAGAACAGTATTGCAAGGTGATGACCAACTGTAGCTCTCCAGAAATAGGTATTGGTCCTCATCCAGTTTAAGAAATTAAACATTACAGATAAGGTGTACCACTTTCTGTTGTATTTATTTTTTAAAAGATTTGAGAGGCAGAGGTAGAGCTCTTTGATCCGCTGGTTCACTCCCTAAATAGCAGCAATGGCCAATGCTGGACCGATTTGTAGCTAGGAGCCAGGAGCTTCCTCTGGGTCTTCCAAGTGGGTGCAGGGGCCCAAGGACTTGGGCCATCTTTTGCTGCTGTCCCAGGCACATTAGCAGGGAGCTGGATTGGAAGTGGAGCAGCCAGGACTTGAACTGGCACCCATATGGGATGCTGGCGCTGCAGGCAGTGGCGTAACGTGCTGTGCTACAGTGCTGGCCCTTTTGTATTACTTTCTTAACCTCATTGCCTTCTGATGCTTCCTTCCCCGGAATTGTCCTAATTTTGTTATTTGTTACTCCTTTAAATTTGATATTTTGTTTTTACTTTGTACTTACTGAAAATTCGTTTTAACTGACTTGTCTTTGTTAAAGATTTAACCAAAAATGAAACATTTACCTTTAAATTTCTTTTAATGGTCTAAAACATTTTACGTTAGGAGGTGAGTATCAAGTTTAGTGGGATTTCATGGAGAGAAAGAAGGTTTACTGAACTTTTTAAAGTTTTTTCTGGCTGAGATGGTAGAAGCAGTGTAGGTTCCTCGGGTTCTGGGTGGTGAGGGTAGGGGGCAGGGATGTGCTGTGCTGTGGACAGGCGAGATGAGTTAATAGCACAGCTTCTAGACGTTTTTTTCTTAGTTCCTTAAGGGCAGTGGCAGTAATAGAAATTTTGATTTTTGTCAAATGGTTTGATCATTTGACAGCATGGTCTTTGGTCAGTTTCTTAATGCACATAATCCATTTGGAAAAATACAGTAATTAATGAGTAAATAGTTCCTGAATTTTTTTTGAAAAGTCAAGCTTTTAAAAAGTGTTAATATACCTTTCAGAGATAAGAAAGGTAGCAAAAAGTGGTGTTAACTTAGGCTTTTCATTCTGTGACATGGGGACAATATCCATATGCTGGTTGACTCCACAAGTGCTCACCAATGGCAGGACTGGGAAAATGTTGAACAGCAGCTTGGAATGTGCTCCAGGTTTTCCCCTTGGGTGGCAGGACCCCAGTAACCTCCTAGGAAGTTGGAGTTGGGAGTCGGGACTCATCGTGAAACACTCCAGTGTGGGATGCAGGGGTCTCATCTGGCAGGCTGTGGCTGACTCCCTATGCCTTTTTGAAAGAGGTTAAATAACTATACTGTAGCTGTCCTATAGCCAAATACTAGATGTTGTGTAACTGGTAGCACATTGATGCCCTTGTGATGCAGTGGAGATAATAGTTAGGGCAAGGACTCTAGCCGCTGTTTCCCACTTGACTCTGGTCTTGGGCTCATTGGAAAAAAGGAGTTCCTCGTTTTTGAATAGTAAAATAAGTATTTTGCTCATATTTCTTTTTTTCTTTTCTTTTTCTTTTTGACAGGCAGAGTAGACAGTGAGAGAGAGAGAGAGAGAGAGAGAGAGAGAGAGAGAAAGGTCTTCCTTTTGCCGTTGGTTCCCCTCCAATGGCCACCACGGCCAGCGTGCTGCGGCCGGCGCATCGCGCTGATCCGAAGCCAGGAGCCAGGTGCTTCTCCTGGTCTCCCATGCGGGTGCAGGGCCTAAGAACTTGGGCCATCCTCCACTGTACTCCCTGGCCACAGCAGAGAGCTGGCCTGGAAGAGGGGCAACCAGTTCAGAATCCGGCACCCCAACCGGGAATAGAACCCGGTGTGCCGGTGCCGCAAGGTGGAAGATTAGCCTATTGAGCCACGGCGCCGGCTGCTCACATTTCTAAGATTTGTTTTGGTAGTAAATAATGTGTGTAAAATCTAACAATTTTTAGCAGATACAAGGGAAGCCAAAACTTGTAATTTATTTTATGATGGCTGTGTTTGAATAAAGAAATATATTTGGATTTGGGCACAAAGAATCTTATTATTCTTTTGGTGTTGCTCTTTTCAAGTAATTGGGTTCTCCTCCCTTTGCTTGGGGCGCTTACTAGTATGGAACCTAATAATCATGTCTTAATTTTGGCTTATACCAAGGTTAATGGTGTAGGAGGTAGAACAAGTAGGATTTTGGAATAAAAGTAGAAAATAGGAGAAGTGTAAATGTCTATTGCTTATTGGCTAAAGCAAATCCCTTTATTGCCTAAAAACTTCCTTCTAAAAATATTAAATTTAATCCTTAAAATGATGAGTTGTGCAACACTGGTTAATTTGGGAATTTTGTACTTGGCGTGTCCTGATGGAAACCTATCTCCGGTTTTTTAGTTCTTTATCTTTCTTCAAATTGATGGCAGTTTAATGACTGTAACACTCAGTATCCTGTATCTTCAAGGAGAATCTGAGTAAACCCTTTGAACTAGAAGCTTGCTTTCTGGAATGACATCAAATCCAGAAGGAAAGAAGGAAAACTAAGGAAGAGCAGTGGAGAAGTGCCCTGTGAGGTTCATTGACATGAGCTGTCAGTGTTGTAACCAGGAGGCAAGGTGACTGGGAAAGGGTGGAGGCTGACTGAAGACAGGGAGATGGGATTCAGGGTAAGTCTAACTGCAGAGCTCTGGGAGTTAGGAGAGCTGGTAGGAGTTACTAAACATTAATGTGTGGTAAGGGGGTGGGGAGTGGTAGTGGGAACTGTGGCAGGACTCTGTGATGGGGGAAACAGGACAAAACCTCAGAGGCAGGGCTGTAGCCAGAGCCGCCAC